TGAGCACTTCCAGAACTCCAGGTCCTTTCATAATGGTCTTTTCTATCAAACAACAAACAGAGCGTGACTGCAACCATGAGCATCGGGGCAGCAGATGAAGGGGGAGAATGGGAGCGTATTGAGATCGCAGCGATTGCAGCGAGGTGTGCAGCCAGCGTCCCGTGGCAGGATGTCATGCTATGTTTAATGAGGCAACCGTGCAGGCAATTAGTCCCTGATAGGACATTATCAGTCAACAATAAGTGAATACTTCATTAAACACAAAACCCTCCAATAGCCTCTCTTCTTTAGCGTCTCGCTTTTGCTCATTTGTTAACACACTCAGCTCAGATAACAACAATTTACAGCTGAATTCTTTCTTAATATTATTCTTAGTAATTTGCATCAGAAACGACTAAATTTGGGAATAAAGAGTTAGAGAGGCAAGGTTGAGATGGTTTGGACATTTGCAGATAGTGGACGTATTGGAGCTGCCGGGCAGGAGGAAAAGAAGACATCAGAGAAGATTTATGGATGCGGTGTAGTCGCTGTGAAAATCCCTAAAGCAAGTGGCAGAAAGAGGAAGAAAATACGATCTCAATAATGTGCCAAGTAAAAAAATAAATAATGGGGGTATTGTTCGGTGAGAAAATATTCAATGTGTTTTTCTTGCAACATCAGCTCCGATCCATACAGCAGTTCGCTCATCTGCATCATTTTGTACCTCGTGGCTGTTAGTTGCAGTGGGAATTGCACCTTCTGATGTATTCTGAGTATCCTTCACTCGCTTCAAAGCTGAGAGAAGTTCTGAGATGGTTGTGTTTGTAGTTTGCAGTTTTGGCTGAGCGATGTAGCAGTTTCCCATCATCAGTGGCAGCCTCAAACAACCCGAATCAAATTTATAATATGCAAAGAAGATGACCAAGTTTTGTTTTTTTTAAAGTAATGCTATTCACTGGCTTCTTGATTTGACTTTTTGATCACTATTTTTTTTTCAAAGATCCTACAGTAATAGTGAGAAAACCCCAACAATCAAACGCCCTCCTATAAGCAAACACTTAGTGACAGTGGGAAGGAAAAACTCCCCTTTAACGGGAAGAAAGATAGGCAGAACCCGACTCAGGGAGGGGCGGCCATCTGATGCGACCGGTTGGGGATGAGGGGAGAGCTAGAGATAATAAGTAATGATTAAAAGCAGAGTGTTGAGTTTTGAACAAGGTGAGTGAGGAAGAAATACTCAGAGCATCATGGGAAGCCTACAGCAGCCTAGGACTACTGCAGCATAACTAAGGGAGCGTTTAACTGTCACCGAATCGAACTATAAGCTGTGGACAGTGTCTTAAATCTGAAGCACAATTTTCCTTTTTTGTTACAGTTAATCAACTTAACCTGTTTTAAGGAAGATGGTGAATTTGATTTTTCTACTGATGATGTCAACTGCTATGTCAAAAGCTGGTCGAGTCCTCCAGATCCCTCTAAAAATAACAGCAAAATTAAAACATTTGCAGTGCAGTTGATGAGAGACATTTCTAAAATTTCTTGCACTAAAAGTCGATAACGTGAAAAATGGCCGCATCGGTGTTTCACGCTGCACTAACGGCACCTTTGCCTCCATCCTAACCAAGCTAACAGAAAAAAAAGCCGATTCTACTTAAGTCAACAATTCAAAGGTCCACACTCCATTGGGAGCTGAGTGGACCATGAAATGCACATTATTGTGTTCACTTGTCTGTTTCTGTGAAGGTAAGGGGTAAAATAAGTTTCTACTTCTCCACAAAAAAAAAGCAAAACGCTAAATAAGGGCTTTGGTTGGATGCACTAAGCATATTTGAGCGTGGCAAGGGTTGCACAGGGAATAGGTTCTTCAATAGTTTCCCACTGCTGCGCTGCCTCAACGCGCAAAGAACAGGGGAATGAAGGGGGAGAGAGAGGAATGGAGAGAAAGCATAAAAATTAGATTATGCTTTCTCTCCAGCTTTTGTTTTCCTTTGAGCACAACAAAAAGCCTTTTCTCCATTTGCAGGGAACACAAGGCTGCGGGATTAATGAAAAGTTGTTCTACCGGTGGGTTTCGGTAAAATTACAACAAATTTTTCACTGAAGAGGCATGGCTGTTTTGCATTTCTGCGCATTTTGAAGTGAGGTGACATTTATGTGAGTCACGGGTCGTGCAGCAGCTTTGTCCTGTGAAGTGAGACAAAGTTCACCAACTGACCGCTCCAGAGCAAAGCTAAATGCCAAGGAGAGGAAGAACAGAGTTCATCTGGAAAGTTTACACATCTGATGCCAGAGGCTTGAAATTGTGTCATTTATGTTCCTTTTCTCTTTTTTCCCTCTTTGTGACAGTTAATATCATACACAGAAAGTTAAAGATGGTTCAGGTGAAATTTAAGGTGCACTTTCAGCAAAAACAACCAGTGTGTCTGAGCTACTTTGGCAGTCAATAAACTGCGTAGGGTTTAATAGGAGAGAGCCCCGGGGACCCGAAAGCCCATTAAATTCTGTGCCCGACTAACTAACAGCGCGAAAATCTGTGAAATCAGTTAGTTAGGAAATGAAAGGATGAAAAACAGGACTGTACGTGCCATCTACACACACACACACACACACACACACACACACACACACACAGCATATACTCTATACACTGAGCTGCCAATGCAGAGATATCTTCACAGCACTTCAAAAAGTGAATCCATTGTGATTATAGTGGCAGCTTTTAGCATCCCATGCATCGGCGCCTGAGCTCATTACTTAGGGAAATACTTACTTAAATTGATATCTACATTTTCTTCAACTGTCAGTTAATTAACCTCTCAAATCACACATTTTGCCCCCAGTTCTTTCTCTAGCTGCTTAACAGCCTTATTCTTCACATTTACTGCTATATATACACACATACTATATATATATATACTTGATTTAATTCATTAAAAGTAAACAGCAGCAGCAGTATTATGACACTCTGCGTCAAGAGAGTTTCAAAATTTCCACAGATTTTACATGTGCAGCAGCTTGACGAGGTAAACTCTTATGTGCAAAGTTTGAGTTTCACTTGGGTTTTTAGCTCAACCTCTCACCTTTGCTTTGAGGTTATACTCATAACAAATCACGTTAAACATACAAATTTATCCACACACTCGTTTATCTGACTCTGTCTGTGATTAGAGATTTTTCTGGCTGCTTTGCCCTGTCCATCTGCACTGTTTGTGCACTCTCTGTGTTCAGGGTTTGTTTGGCATTTTCTTCTGAGGCTTATTTGTTATTTGCATTATTTGCCCCCAAAGGCAGGCTCAAAACTCAACACATCAAACTAACCTGACAATCCTTTGTAGCAAATAACTGCCTGATATCACAGACATCACTGTGTTTCCTCCCTTCAGATCCTCTTTAAGGCCTTTAATGTTGCTGCCTTCAGTTGTTTCTGGTTTTTACGGCATTCAGTTTTGTATTTAATGACTGAAAAGCGTGCTCTGTTGGGCTGAGATCAGGTGAATGGCTTGGTCATCAACCATACCATTTCTTAGCCTTGAGAAACCTCTGGGTTATTATCCCTTGCACTGTGAAGCACGGTCTGATTATCCTGCTACTTCTATCATCAGCAGTCACATAATCAATAAACACTAGTGGCCCAGTTCCACTGATAGCTATACATGCTCATGTTGTAACATGGCCTCCATCAAGTTTAGCACATAACTCTTCCCATCATTTTGGCACAAGTTCATCTTGGTTTCATCTCAACAGGCTGTTTTATCAATTTCTTTTCTAATCTTGGAGCAGCATGTTGATGATGGTTAACACAGCTCACAGCAAGAATGACCTTGTTTTAAATCCACCATCTGGCCTTTGTGTGGGGGGTTTGCACACAGAACGGTACTCTGGCTTCATCCCACATGCAGTTTGTGGGTTAACCAGTGACTCGAAATTGTCTGTCTCTTTGTGTTGGCTTTGCAACAGGTTGTTGCAGAGTGTATCTGGACAGGTCAACAGTGTACCTACTTACTTCCCTGTAAGACTGAACTAGATAAGCAGCAGGAAATGGATGGATGGATGGAAGTCTAATCTGAACTGACAGGTTTTGACAGTGGGAGGTTGTGTATATTTTCTACCAACTGACCCTTTTTTGACCAATGGCGCAGCAGTGGATCAATTTTTACAAGTTCTCATTAAATGAACCTAACTTTGTTACTGTTTGTGTTAGAGACAAAAATCTAATGATTTTGGAAAGAAGAGGAGACTAGCATTAACACCTCAACCAATTAGAGAGAGAAAATTCAAATTGTTCCTGAAAGATCAGAATTATTTTGTAATTTTACAGCCAAAACGACAAAACAATTCTGCATGTTGCGTGTATTAATAGCCAAATGATGAAAAGTGTTATTGCAGAAAGTCTGCACTTCAATCAAATATTAATTGTTAAATTTGAAAGGAGCTGTAGTGGTGTACAGAACTTAAAACTACATAAACTGTGTCTTTGTCCAGTAAATTATGAACGATTTAGATGTCAAGAATTATTTGGTCTATTGTCTTCAAACACTAGCCAGAGCTCTCTGAACGTATCCCTTTTGTTTCATCTGTCAGTCTGTTGATGCCTGTTGTGCAATTCGTGACTTACACCTGCCGATAGAAGCACCGCTTTTCCGTTTCAGTGTGTTGTTATTCAGGCTCAGATTGTTTGTTTCTCCTGGACAGTGATATGGACCCTGTGCATGGATGTGATGCCGTGAAATATATATAGAGAGGGACAGAACAGAACAGAATGGTTGATCTTTGCATCTTGAATCTAAAGTTTTTCTCACCAAACTGCACGGAAATGAAATATAAACTGATCAAAACACAGAAAATGGCAAATCTGCAGGAACACAATGTCACTGCCCTTTTTGTTCTTGAGAACAGAGGCGACCGGTTAGATCTATCTACCTAATCCAGACATATTTAGCCAGATAATCACCTTTCATTATATAATCCTCAGGTTAGCTAAGACTGTACACATGCCCTTCATCCACATCTGCTATCCAAGACAAACAAGAAGAACAGTCAGGGTAAGTAGAAGGAAGAAATAGTATCATATTCTTTTCTTCTAGCTTCTTTTGCTGTTTTTATATATAATAATAATTTATAGTTAAGTGTTCAATAATTCAGAACGACGACCACTGGCTGTAGTTCATTTGTAGGGAGCAGGCATTGCATGGAGAACGTCTGAGGCAGCCTGCTCACACTGGCTAATGAAACTGACAAACATTTCCTCTCTGCTTTGTAATATTTGATTATATGGATCCTGAGCTTTGCTGTACAAGCCAGCAGATGGCCAGACCTCTGTTTTCATTTGTTTTGGTTCACCATTTGTGCCCCTGTTGCTTGCTACAATGCAATTGCATCAGCTGACTTATTCAGAGCAGCTCGCTGTGTGATTATCAGGCTGGCCTCCAGAAAAACAGGCAGCGAGAGCTTGTAATTAGACTCGAATTATATACAAAGCAATGGGGAGAAATTCCCCAAATGACAGGGAAAACATGAAAACGTATCTCTTTCTCACCCTCTGTTATCCTGTCTGCACAGAGACCAAAGGCGACAGTCTCATTTTAGAGCCGTGACATGAAATCAGTGCTGGATAGGGGAGGAGGGATGTGAGGATGAGAAAGTGGTGGTGAAGTGTTAAGATGGGTGAAGATAAGATGGAGTGCCAGGCCTGATTGCATTTCTATCGGTTGTTTATGGATCAGACACGGACTGGTTTGGCTCCTCTGGGACCGACTTTCTTCCGACTGGACAGCAGGCGAACGGAAAGATAATGCGAAAAATAAAAGAAAACAAGGAGAGTACACAGGAAGGTGAAGCCACGCCTGAACTCACAATCAATGTGTGTTTTTTGTGACTCTGATACTTTCTGTTATGCATGCCAGAAAGGTTCATTTTTGTTTCAATTTTCTTTTTAGTTAAGAAATACCTTGAAAACCACTCAAACAATTTCCCTAACTGTAGGCATAAATTTGGTTTTAATTTAATGTTCTTTAATAGTATTTTATGGGGAAATTTTAAGTTCTTGTATAAAGCGCCCTGTGGCACACTAGCATCCTTGCTTGTACTTTGCTTCCTGCCCGATGTCACAACCTTAACCTCAGCATGACCCAGGATAGCTGGCTAAGAAATCCTCGTCCAAACAGTTCAGTCTTCAGTCTGGGTGTAAAGACTTCAATTTTTACAAAGGATATAAAAGAAGTGAGTGTAGCAGAGTTTCTTTAACTCTTCATCTTTGCTTCAAGCTGTTAGTTTAAGGCTACGTTAGCCACTAGCAGTACCCTAAGAGAAAACTTTATCTTTGATTCTGCTGCTCTGCTTTTGATCCTTTAAGAAAAATAATACAATGTTTAAGCGGTGTGGTGGTCTGCTTTTCCCAAATCAAAGGCTTTGGGAACTTTTAACTTCTCATAGTCTTTGTAGCCTAGATTGTGTCAGATGTTAACAAGAATTCAACACGCTTCAAATATTTCCCCCAAATAAGAATATCTGCTACACTCATAAAAGAGAGAAATAGCCAATACGACACCACTATATTTCTGAAGTCTGGAGTTGAGCATAAAGGCCACTGCAGTTTTTCAGACGCAGAAGTAGCCATAAGTGCTAAATTGCTAGCTAAGGTGTCTAGACTTTATTTACTATAATCCACGGACAGGGATATTTAGTGCTAACATATTGATATAAATTAATAATAGATAATGGATGGTGAAAATGGTTTACTCACCCAAGACTAAAGAACAAATGTCTTGAATGGCTGTATGGCAACAGTAGAGGCAGTACCTAGCAGACAGGCAGCAGCACCCATGAACACTTACTAAGTGAGGTCTGCAGCTCTTTAGACGTTGTTCTGGGTTCTTTTGTGATCTCTTGGATGAATCATCAGTGGCTTTAGAAAGGGCTTTGTAACCTTTCCAGGCTGATAGATGTCACTGACGTTGTTTTGCCTGTGTTCTTGAGTTTCTTTAAATCGTGGCATGATGTGTTGCTTTTTGAGATATTTCAGCCGGCATCACTCTGTCAGTCAGGTTCTGTTTAACTGATTTTTTGATTCAGCAGAGTTGGCAATAATCAGGCCTGAGTGTCACTAGTAAAACTAAACTCAGCTTTCTAAAAAAAAAAAGTGGTTAATGCCAGCTAGTTAATGTTGTAACAATGGCAATTGGATAGCTTTTCTCCCCAAATAAGTGAAATCATCATTTAAAAACTGCATTTTATATTTAATCGGTTATCTTTCTCAAATGTCAGAACTTGTTTGATGATCTGAATCATCTTGGGCTACGTTCACACTGCAGGTGTTAATGCTCAATTCCTATTTTTTGATCAAATCCAATTTTTTTGACTGCTTGTTCACACTACAAATAAAATGCGACAGCAAACGCACTCTAGTGTGAACGCTCAAAGCGGCCCGCATGCGCAAAAGAAGACGTCACACACAACGCGCTCTGTTTAGACCCAGAGCAAACAGTATTGTTTGACTGATGGCCCTTAATATAAAGACTTCGGACTTTACGTTTCCCAATTTTTGCTTTAAGTTATTTTGTTATTTACATAATAATGTAGATAACCTAATAATTATCCTTATTGCTGTTTTAGAGGAGTGGCGCTTCAAAGGATAGTTGCAGATTTCTGTCAGAATCTGTACAAATAACATGCTCACGTTTCTCCAACGTTGTCTTCCCAACAGTTTCACTGACATCTACGCTGGATAGCCAGGAAGCGTTCGTGATGTCTTCTCGGGCGCTTCTCCGCCGCTGATAATTGGCGTCTGTCTTGTGTCAGTGACGTAAAAGACGGATTTAATGTGACATGACCGTTCAAACAGCAGTCGCTTTCTAAAACATCGGATATGTATCGGATTCAGTACCACATACGAAAGTGACCCAGATCGGATTTGAAAATATCGGATTTGTGCCGTTCACACTGTCATAGCATGATAGGATATGGGTCTCATAGGGTCAAAAAAATCGGATTTGATACACTTTTGCCTGCAGTGTGAACATAGCCTAAGTGGCATTAATAAGCAAAAAAACTAAGAAATCAGGAAGGGTGCAAATACTTTGTCCTAGCACTGTGTGTAGGTTTCACAGGAGCGCCTAGAGTTCTCTGAAAACCTTCCTTTTCAGTATGTATGCACTCAATGTGGGTCACGTTTGCATGACATATACAATGTGTCTCAGCGTCCTTCACTCCAGTGGCTCTTGTGGAGTATATTTAGAATCCCTATTTAGTGTTTAACTCCCAACACCCCAGGCTGGCCCATTCGTCGTCTTCCACATCATTGCAGAACTCAAGTGCAGCTTGCTTTCCATCGTCAGCTGTGTTTGTTGTGTTGGTTTCGTCTAGTCCACCTGGCCCTCCATTTCATTACTTCAATTAGAATGATTAGGATCTAAAATTGCTTGTGTCGGCTCAGTGATTGACAGCAATTGGCCACTTAGGGAGGAGTGCTGCAGACACAAAGCGCTGCTCAACGGCTTGTGTAGTGAAACGGGTACAGGGTGTGCATGCGAGTGTGGCTGTGTTTGTTTACTCTGATGGGAGTTGTGCTCACTGAAGACGAGAGCAATTCTTTAGGCAAACAATGCGAGGCCATTACTATAGAAAGTCCAGATATCCTGCTTTCCCCACAAGTGCAGCGTGAATGTTTGGGAAAGCGGCAGAGACGCTGTGTATATGTGTGTGCTTGCATTATTGCAAGGTTTTGCAAACACTGCAAACTTTTTTCAGTATGCATGTAAATAAATAAATAAATAAATCAGTGTATAGATAAAATAACTTCTGACCACTTCAATTCCAAAACTGTAATTGTGGGTGGACATTAAAAATTCCTCCCCTCTCCATTCGTACAGTTTAATATGCTTCAAGCGTGTTGCAATCAGGACGTATCGTAAGCACACTGATTGTGCGAAAGCATGACAGACAGGCAATCACTACTCAGTCATGGCACGTTTTGTTCCACCCAGCTGGAGCTGGGAATGTGGCTTGTTTTTTGCCGAGGTGCATTAAACGGTCCAACATAATTTAGACGACTGGCTGGTCTTCGTGTCTCTTCTCATTACAGCCCTCGTGGTCCGGGGCCGCCTTAAGTAGTGACTGTTGGAGCAGATCTTGAGGGTCTGTCTTTGCAGCAGCTTCGTGGCGTGCGTGCTGGTGGTGTGAGGCGTTGGGTTTACAGCGCATCAGTGTCAAGTACGGCCGTTCATCATCAGGCGCTGATACTCAGAACTGCCGAGGCTCGTGACAGAACATTAATCTGTCTCTCAAATTGAAAGCCATAAGTTTCTCCTCCTCCTCCCTCATGAGTTCTGCACATGCGACTGTCATACACTCCCTTTCCTTTCATTTTTCTGTTCGCCATCTTCTTCTGTTGCTGTACTGACATTTCCATCCACACTGTCCTGTGGTCCATGTTTTTTGTTCTGCTGTTTGGGTATATACGCTGTGATTGCATTCAAACTCAAACTGGTCCCTACCTATTTCAGCTGAGCCCCCACCCCTGCAAGTTTTGCTATTACTAACGTTTAAAACTGGGTTTGAGTGACTCCTCTTCCCTCTGGCTCAATAGTTGAATTAAATAGATTTCTATAAATGTGATTAATGCTGTGATGCGGTGTGTAATATCTAGCCCTGTGCTCATTTTTGTTACTGGAACTTTAGCAGCTAAGACAGCCCTTTTAGCTTGTCTCTACCTTGCATTTGAAAAAGCCAGTTCATGAAGACTTTAGTGTTTAATATCAGGTTTTGTTTGGTTGTTTGTTGCTTTGTGTGAGCCCAACAAGCCTTTTCTTCATTATTTTAGAAAGCTCTTTTGGAGCCTTTGCCTTTACATTATGATATTTGTGTCTTTTCCCTCTCTTCCCTTTTGACATTTTCTTTTATCTTCTGGCCAGGATGTCCGTGAAAGGTGCAAAGGGAGGACCAGAAAGTAGACCATCCTCTGCCGCCAGGTCAGTGAAGAAAAAAGTCAAAATTAACAATTCAAGCTCAGTGTGAACCCTAAACCTTTCATTTGGAGCATTTCAGTGGTGCATTTCCGTTGTGTTTGTCTGTTATGTAACAGTACATAAGCAAATTCAGTAGGAAAAGTAATTCTTGAGAGATTGTCTAGCTGATTTTAAACGGTCTTAATAGCTTTTCAAGACTTTTTTTTTTGGGGGGGGCGCTTTTAGAAATCCAAAGAGCTGTCATCAGTATCCTCCCATCGTAGCCAGCTTTTTTAATGGGAGAAAGAACTGGCTGTTAGACTCTATCAAAGTCAGTATTTATGTTTCTTTTTCTTTAAATAAATAATGGGACTCTAAGTTGATTAAGGCCTCTCTCTTTCCTAGCACATCTCCACGAGTGGGGAGGGCTGCAGCAGCTGGAAGATCACCCGTTGCAGGCAGATTTAAAAACAAGGCCCTTCAGCTCAGCCTCTCCAAGAAATTCTGGTTATTATCGTTCTCTGTTTCTAATCAACATTGATTAGGACAAGGGGAGTGGGACGTGTAGAGTTGTGCACCCAATTATGTGATACATCACCTGAAAAATAAACTTGTAGAGTTTCCAGGTTTCCAAGTTGCCCTCCTGGGAAACACTGCCTTTCTTCCTTTTTTTCTGGTGATTGATGTTACCACTGATGTCACCTGACTAGGCCCAAGCAGCTGATGCTGCACGAACAAGGGATGGAAAATATTACCTCAAAGGCACTTAAGTGTATTTGGTAAACTGCTGGAGGGGAAATTATAGACTTGGCTTTTATGATGATAGCTCTCAACAATTGGCGTGCAAATGCACTCTTCACAGCTCAAAGTCCCCCACACCCCAGGGGAAGGGCCCTGAGGAGCAGGGTAGTCGGCGTGGTAAAAGGAGCCTCAGCAACAGCTCAACAGTGGCCGCTGCCTACGTCGCCTACCTTAATAAACTTTTTGGACAGGTCAGTTCATGCATATACACATTAATTTAAACAGAACCTGACACTCAATAGTGATAAATAACAAGGTTTCATTCTGGAGTATGTTTACATTCAGGGGTAACAGCACATTTATAAAGGGCAAATATAAAAAAAACTGAGCAGGTGGTGTGGATTATTAAAAAAATAATGTACACAGTCCATATCAGCATGTCCTGGTGATGCTTTTATAGTAAAAATGCCTCTTAATTTAACAGTAACTGCACCTGAATACTGTATGTTTGTGTTTGAAGGGGAATCTCGTGGTGCAGACAGGAATCAAAGAGCAGGCACAGAGATGGAGACACAAAAGATCAAAATGGTTAGGACCCCATCACTGAGTGCTTGGCGAGTGATTACTGGAAGTTGCTGCCAGTCGCTCGTGAAATTAGTTGCAAAAGAGGGTGCTGCACCAAAGACCTTATGATTGTTTTGATCACCAACTTTTCAAGTAGAGAAACTTGAAAATGTGTGACTCAAACTGGAACTGTTCTCCTTCACTGTAGTGAAGTTGTGTCCGGCCACTGAAATCATGGTCAGACACAACATGTTTCAAGAGATGCAACTTTTACTTTGAAAGTGAGTCGTTTGAGTTGCGTGGCACTCTTCACATTTTCACAACTATGTAGGGAACAGTTGGTGAGTGTCTGCATGTTGGTGTCTTCCATGCAAATTACAGGTGGCTCAGCAACTAAACCAATCTCAAAGAGCTTGTAGGTCCAGCATGGTAAACCTCACTGTAACTGGTGTTGCCCATGGGATCACTCACCAGTCTCTAGATGTAGTGGTCTGTTGTTCAGCAATACATTTCTCACTGGCTATTAGCAACCGGTGTTAGGGTGTTTTATCCAGTTTTTCTGTGCTGTGGATTTTACACAGTACGAAGTGAAGAGCACCAGAACCCAGCTGCATCACTATCAAGTTAGCCTTTATCTCTACATGGGACAGACAGGACAGGTGGACAGATCATAAGTTGTTCAAGTCATGGTTGAATCAAAGCCTAACTTTATTTATGAATTTACTTTATATATACTGAATTATTTACACTTCATTGATTAAAAATAGATACATTTTCTGAAAAGCTGTGAAGTGGTTGTAAGTAATCCAGAAAAGTTGGAACACCTGCAGGAATTAGTAGCAACAGCTTTCAAGGCTTGATCAACCTGCACTGACGCAGAACAGCTTTAAATTGTTAAGCCATTTTGTCCTCACTTAAAAAAAAAGACCTTTTTGTATAATTCTGAAATGTACATTATTTTTTCAGTTTTTGGTAACTTTACCTTTATATCAATTCAAGCTATTCATTGGACTTGAACAACTTGAACTGCAATAAATAATTGGAAAAACTAGGGTGTTCTAAAAGTTTTAACTGGTAGTATCTGTTGAAAACATGCAGTCATACTGTATGTGCATGTGTATCTCATTTATTCCATGTTTGATGTCATCATACTTGTCTTTATCTTACTTTAGCAAGGCTAAATCTATTTTGGCATACGCTTAAATGACCTCTGACTGAATTTGTCATTTGTGGTGCTGATCAAACGCTGTAATTGATTAATGTTATATTGTGCAACCTGAAATACATCGAAAGCAAAACTGAGTTTGATTTTAGACACAAATGATGATAACCAGCCCGTAAGAGTTAATATTTTCTTCCACAATCTCCTCCTTTGTCACAGTAACTGCTCAACGTGTACAAGGTGCACCTGCTCCTTTCACTTCAATTGATATGTCCTTGCCTCATCTCCATCAGCCCAGCAGGTCTCAACTTCACAGTTTGAAAACCCCTGGAAACATCCAAAATCTTAAATAGTGGTTGTTTCCTAGCCCTCTAAAAGAGAAAAAATAGCCTTACTAGCATTTATTTATTTTAATAACAATTATGCAATACAAGCATGTGCAGCAAAAATGCAAATGTGTCTCCTTTATGCTACACAAAACACAAACACAGAACCGTGATAAAGTGGAGGTTTGCACAGTGAGTCACAGCTGAATAAAAAAACATTAAATTTAAAGTTATGCAGCCGAGCAGGAAAATTGCCCTATTTATTTAGCTGATTGTGAGCACTAACAATCAGCTGTATGTATAAACACTGCTTGTGGCTGTTTGCAGTGATCCATAGCGATCCAAAAGCAAATGCTCTGTTTGTAAACCGGTAATTGTTAATGTGGAATAGGTCACATAACCATGGAAATCAGTATCATTACCAACTGCTATTAATTCAAATATGAAATTGAGACTGTGGGCTGTAATCCATGTCCTTTATGCCTTGGAAAAGAAAAAGGGGGGGGGAAGCACTCCAATAATTTCACAAATGATTTAATGCCTGGACTCTGTGTCATCTTCCAGTAATGCTCTGCTTGGCTCGGGTTAAGAATTGGCTCTTTTCACGGCTGATACCATGATCCCAGGTCCCTGCAGGATGTTACAGAATATTTCAAAAAATTACAAATGGACATGAGCCAAGAAACGATGCACAAGCATCCTGATTTTTGTTGGAAATATTAGCTGATTTACACATGAAGCACTTAAAATCATAACATACAATGATTTAATTTGACATATGCCATGTTCAACGCTCCTGAACAAATAGTAAAGTTCTTCTCATGTATTATATGAGGAAAAAGGCAGGATTTATTTTATATAACTGAATCACTAAAACCTGATAAGCAGAGAGTCTATTATAATGTTGTTTTTACACAAGATTAGGACTAATCAGATGTAACAATACTCAGCTATAGTCATTTTGGAGACACATGGTGGAATTAAAGACCACAATATACAGCCAATTCAACCCTTTGAAGATTCGATTTGAGTACAATTCTCAGTCATTTCAGGTATGTACAGAGTAATGATGGGAAGAGTCGGTTCATAATGGTCATGAATATAACAGTGGACATTACTAGTCAGTCTTCCTAATGAGCCAATATCCATGAAGCATGAATAGATGACATTAGTGATTTGCCCAGGAGAGGATATCTAATTGTTCTGAGAAAAGTAAACGTTCCCTCGGCAGGATTATAGGCTGCATTAAATTTGTCGTGCAGCTGGTAGATTAGATGGGGAATGCTGGTGTTGCACATGTTTTCAAGTGTGAGAACAAAGTTGTCCTTTTCATTAAAAACTGTAACAGAGATGATCCTCCCACAACTGAAACCATAGTCACAGTGAAAATTTGCCACGTCTTGATTTGTTGTATTTTTTGCATATTTGTCACACTTACATGTTTCAGATCATCAAAAACTTTTAATATTAGACAAAGATAAACCAACTAAATACAAAATGCAGTTTTTGTATGATGACACATTATATAATACAAGAAACTCAAAAGTCATTGTATTGTATTGTATTGTATTGTATTGTATCTTTATTTGTTTCAGACATATAAAACAAAAAACAATATATACACACTACATATATTTTCATTTACAGATACGAATATATATGTAGATATACACACACACGTATGTGTTCAGATAAACAAAAAATATATAATGAAATAAAACAAAATCGTCTGACATAATGTAACAATGTTTGGTCTGAAAAGGAGTAGGAAGAAGTATGAACATACTTATTAATTCCTACCCCTGCTCAACATCTTATTGATCCCACATAATTCACCTAATTCCCATCATCACATACTCCACACGATACACGAGGAGAACCTATATAAACTTGGCTACCGTGACTGATATAATTTGGATATAATTTGATATTTTTATACATACAATGGGTGATCATCTTTATCGGTATCATATTCTTCCAAAATCAGTTTTCGAAGTATTTTCATGAACTTACTAATTCCTGAGCATTGCTGTAGATCTATAGTAAAACTATTCCACAGTTTTACCCCATAAATAGTGACACAAAAGGTTTTAACCTTTGACCGTGCTTTAAGAATCCTTAGATTCAATTTCCCCCTCAATTCATAGTCTCCTTCTCTGTCATAGAACATCCTCTGTATATTTCCTGGTAACATATTGTATCTGGCCTTGTACATAATTTTTGCAGTTTTATATTTTATAAGATCCATAAACTTCAGTATTTTTAATTTCAAAAACATGATGTTAGTATGGTCTCTAAATCCTGCTTTATTAATCATCCTGATTGCTTTTTTTTGAATTTTACATATTGGTTGAAGTGCAGTTTTATATGTGTTTCCCCAAATTTCCACACAGTATTCCAAATATGGCAATATAAGTGAACAATAAAGTACCCGGAGTGATTTGGAAGGCAAAAAATATTTAACTTTACTTAGTACGGAGATGCTTCTTGACAGTTTGGCTTGTATATGCTTTATGTGAGGTTTCCAGCAGATTTTGTTATCTATTATCACACCCAGAAATTTTGTATCCGAAACTTGCTCTATTTCAACATTGTTTACTAATAATTTTGCTCCTGCATCTTTTTTACAATTTCCGAATAACATAAATGTAGTTTTTTCCAAATTTAATGATAGCTTATTTCTATCAAACCATGTTTTCAGTTTAATCATTTCTTGTGTGACAATTTCCAAAAGCTGATGTAAGTTCTCTCCAGCACAAAAAATATTTGTATCATCTGCAAATAGAATAAACTGTAGTATATCTGATGTTCTGCATATATCATTGATATAGAGGATAAACAGCTTTGGTCCCAATACTGACCCCTGCGGAACTCCACAAACAATGTCCATACACTCTGATTGATATTCCCCAATTTTCACAAATTGCTGCCTGTCTCTCAAATAACTCTTTACCCATTCTAACACCACTCCTCTAATGCCGTAGTACTCCAGTTTATCAAGTAATATGTCATGATTAATTGTGTCAAAAGCTTTTTTTAGGTCAATGAATACACTAACTATACATTGTCTTTTATCTATATTGTTGGTGATATTTTCGATCAGTTCCATTAATGCCAATGATGTTGATCTATTTGATCTGAAACCATACTGACTATCCGTTATTATTTTGTGTTTATCTATAAATTTGTCAAGTCTATT